ATGGCCACCACAAAATTGTACATTGGCTCCCAGCTGGCCCAGGGGCCGTTCCCTCACTGTTTCCAGGATGGCTTCACGGGCCACATGAAACCACTTTGCGAGCTGCATCCGACCCCCAGGCCTTGTGTTTGACATGTCTGGTCTAGTTTAACGAAGAGAAGGACGAGGGGGGACAGCATAGCAGTGTTCCAATATCTCAGGGGCTGCCACAAAGAAGAGGAAGTCAAGCTATTTTCCAAAGCGCCTGAAGGCAGGACAAGAAGCAACGGGTGGAAACTAATCAAGGAAAGAAGCAACCTAGAACTAAGGAGAAACTTCCTGGCAGTTAGAACAATTAACCAGCGGAACAACCTGCCACCAGAAGCAGTGAATGCTCCAACACTGGAAGTTTTTAAGAAGAGACTGGACAGCCGTTTGTCTGAAATGGTATAGGGTTTCTTGCCTGAGCAGGGGGTTGGACTAGATGACATCCAAGGTCCCTTCCAACTTTACTATTATTACTATTATTATTATTATTATTATTATAGATCATTGCACAATCAGCCAGATGTTCAGACTGGATTTGGCATTTTGTCTACCTATCGAGTCCTTACCAAGGATCTGGGATAGATTGATGTGGATGTTTGATGGTATTACAGATCTCATCACAGGATGGAAGCAGTTCCTAGTAAGGTCGCCTTTTGCAATTGACTAATTGCGAATTTGTGTTCAAGTGGTGCTCCAGTTGTTTTGGGATTGCACCCAAGGCGCCTATGACTATTGGTACTACCCTTGCTTGCTTTTGCCACAGTCTTTCTATTTCTATTTGTAGGTCTTTGTATTTGTCCTTGTTGTTATTATTATTGTTATTATTTATGACAGTTGCAGAATCCCGAGATCATAGGACCCCTTTTGGGGACAAGCAAAGTCAACGGGCAAACCAGACTCACTTCACAAGCGTGTGACTCATTTAACAGCTGCTGTGAATCACTTAACCTCGGTGTCAGGAAAGGTCGTAAAATGGGGGCAACACTCCTTTGAACAAAGGTCTCCCTTAGCAACAGAAATCTGGGGCTCAGGTTGTGCTCGTAAGTTGAGGGCTACCTGTGCTCTCTTTACCCATTCTCTGTTTTCTCTACGCAGAGCGTGACCACCCAATCCTGCAGGCCAATGAGAACAGGAGTTATATAAAAACCCAGCTCATCCTTTTTGGCAGGTAAGGCATTCATGCCTGGATAAAGCAGGAGCTTTGGCTTTGTCCATCTGGCTGACCACACTGGGGCTCTGATTGCACAACTGCCCTCTTCCCTGGAACATGCATGTCTTGATCTGTGTGGGGAGGGACTCCTGCCAGACCTTTATCTTGCTAACTCACGGTCAGCTAGAAACCGGAGGCTGAATTTATGCATTTTGGATAGGAAACCTGCAGATTGTAAGGCAGGGGGGCACCCCCGTCAGCAGCACCTCACCCAGAGTGGCCGATGGCTTTTAGGTAAATGCATGCAAATAGATATTCTGTTCTGGTCACCGTGAAACACACACACAAAAAAAAGATGGTGAGATTCTAGAAAGAGTACAGAGAAGAGTAAGAAAAATGTTTAGAGGGCTGGAGGTGAGAAGATCTGAAGAAGACAAGAAGCAACGGATGGAAACGAATTGAGGAGAGAAGCAACCTAGAACTAAGGAGAAACTTCCTGACAGTCAGAACAATTAACCAGTGGAACAATTTGCCTTCAGAGGTTGTGGTGGTCCATTATTGGAGGTTTTTAAGAAAAGACTGGACAACCATCTGTCTGAAATGGTACAAAGTCTCCTGCTTGAGCAGGGGGTTGAACTAGAAGACCTGCAAGTTCCCTTCTATTCTATTCTATTCTATTCTATTCTATTCTATTCTATTCTATTCTATTCTATTCTATTCTATTCTTCCATTCCACTCCACTCCATCTATTCTATTCTATTCTATTCTATTCTATTCTATTCTATTCTATTCTATTCTATTCTATTCTATTCTATTCTATTCCATTCCATTCCATTCCATTCCATTCCATTCTATTCTTCCATTCCACTCCACTTCATCTATTCTATTCTATTCTATTCTATTCTATTCTATTCTATTCTATTCTATTCTATTCTATTCTATTCTATTCTATTCTATTCTATTCTATTCTATTCCATTCCATTCCATTCTATTTTCTATTCTATTCTATTATTCTGTTCTATATTCTGTATTCTGTTTCAAGGGACATCCACACATATTTAGCTGATAACATGGTCCTGCATGCATTCTTCAAAATTGGAATGAATACACAGACTGGGACAAATGAAAAAATGCAGACAATCTTCTGCAGGAGTTGGAAGAATCTCTCTGTGTCTGTGTGTGTGTGTGGGGGGGGGTGATGAAGGGAGGGTGGAAAGGGAAGGGATTAAGGCCAACTGCTCCAGGATCACATCTTTAATGTTACCAGTTTGTACAGAGGAGACAATATGTGATCGGACGTTGATTTGGCAACGGGTCCTTGAAATGAAGCTCTGTTTCTCTTTCATCTGCAGAGGTGGTCCATGGATGGTCCAACTGGTGGGGAGCTGAGATAAGGCACCTGACCTCTCAGACAGCAGAGATTAAAAAAAAAAGTCTATATGGGGGGCCATAACTGCCTTCCCCTTTTATGTGCATTGTTCCTGCAATGGACATCAGGCAATCACCTTGACTTTTTTGTCCCTAACCCCTCAGTAGTCACTCCTGTCAACCGGAATGTCTACAACTCCTCCACATCTAGGAGATATGGAGATTTAGATATCTCCATGTCTCGATGTCCATATCCCATATCTATATCATAGACTAGGTATGTCTACTTTACTAAAGGGAAGGACCAGGGGTGACATGATAACAGTTTGCCAATATTTGAGGGGCTGCCCCAAAGAAGAGGAGGTCAACCTCTTCTCCAAAGCACCCAAAGGCTGGACAAGAAGCAACGGATGAAAGCTTATCAAGGAAAGAAGCAACCTAGAACTAAGGAGAAACTTCCTGGCAGTAAGAGTGTGCCTCCAGAATAATAGAATAAGAGAACAATAGAGTTGGAATGGACCTTGAAGACAAAGAAGAGGGGCTCAACCTCTTCTCCAAAGCACCCGAAGGCTGGACAAGAAGCAACAGAGGGAAACTAATCAAGGAGAGAAGCAACCTAGAACTAAGGAGGAATTTCCTGACAGTAAGAACTTCCCTCCAGAATAATAGAATAAGAGAATAATAGAGTTGGAAGGGACCTTGATGACAAAGAAGAGGGGGTCAACCTCTTCTCCAAAGCACCCAAAGGCTGGACAAGAAGCAACGGAGGGAAACTAATCAAGAAGAGAAGCAACCTGGAATTAAGGAGAATTCTAGACTTCCTTAATTCTAGAATGCCACTCCCTACCATCCAGTCAGAGCTGAAGAAACTTCTTGGATGAGAAGTGAAAGGTCTTCAAAGAAAAACAAGAAAGTCCAGTTGCCTCTTGAAAAAGGCACCTTTGGGACAACCATGACCTGGATGACCAAGAATCCCCATCGACAAATTATGGAGAAACTTCCTAATACTTAGAAATAACCAGTGGAACGACTTGCCTCCAGACGTTGTGGCTGCTCCATCCCCTGAGACTTTCAAAAAAGAGATTGGACCACAGTTTATCTGAAATGGTATCGGGTCTCCTGCTTGAGCAGAGGGTTGGACTAAGAAAACTCCAACATCCCTTCCCTCTCTTTTATTCTGTAATTCTTTAATTTCTCTCTTGATCGACCCCTTCTCCATTCAATATTTCCAAGTCCCGGATGTTTTTTAAACTCATAATTTCTAGACAAGCATGTTACATCTCCGTTTCTTGCTCACGTCTGCAATTTGTGGTCCTCAATATCCCGGAGGAATAAATTAGGCTTTGGTTTAGTACTCAACCATCTTGATAGCCTAAGACCCAGGAGATGCAGACTTAGCACAGGCAACATCCACGCAGGCATGTTTTCAACTCAAGACATTGAGTTTTAACCACATTCCGGAAATGGAGCCCCTTTCACCCTATAATATATCCTCTTTCCTCTCCTTCAACCATCTCCTAGATTCCAGTTTTACCCTGCAGAATTTTTGAATTGAGTTTTGAATTTTTGTGTTTCCCACGAAGGCTGAGCAACTTTGCCATCCTCTTGCAATGCAAACTGAAGCGACAACGCTGTTCTCTGGATTTGCAAAGAGGCGATTGACAGGAAAGCTACTGGCAGCGCAGCTAGAGCCTCAGGAATTAGGGCTCAGAGGATGCTAATTTGTGCCCTTTGCATTTTTTTCTCAGCTTTCCCTCCATGGATACATTTCCACGGGCTTTCTGGTTTTGCCTCAATCTTTTCAGTCCACTGCACATTAAAAAAGACATTCAACAGGTGCCCCGCAGTCTTGACTACATCCCAAATTCAGATGCCTTCTTACAACTTGCTGGATCTCATGTACAACATGATGAAAAGCTGGAGAGAGTCTTTCTTTCTTTCTTTCTTTCTTTCTTTCTTTCTTTCTTTCTTTCTTTCTTTCTTTCTTCTTTCTTTCCTTCCTTCCCTCCTTCCTTCCCCTTCCTTCCTTCCTTTCCTTTCTCCTTCCTTCCTTCCTTCCTTCCTTCCCTTTCTCCTTCCTTCCTTCCTTCCTTCCTTTCTCTCTCTCTCCTTCCTTCCTTCCTTCCTTTCTCTCTCTCTTCTTCCTTCCTTCCTTCCTTCCTTCCTTCCTTCCCTTTCTCCTTCCTTCCTTTCTCTCTCTCCCTTCCTTCCTTTCTCTCTCTCTTCTTCCTTCCTTCCTTCCTTCCTTCCTTCCTTCCTTCCTTCCTTCCTTCCTTCCTTCCTTCCTTCCTTCCTTCCTTCCCCCCTCTCTTTCTTTTTCTTCTCTCTCTCTCTCTCTCTCTCTCTCTCTCTCTCTCTCTCTCTCTCTCTCCCTCCCTCCCTCCCTCTCTTTTTTACACTGGGGTCCAGTCCCCCTTCTGCCCATGCCACTTCCCCTCACCCTCAAAGTCCTTACCTGTCTATTCCACTGGGCTGAAGAAGCTTCCAGGCAGATTCTCCTTCCAGATTGGAGATATGCAACCAGCAGTTCTTGTAACTCCAGAGGGCTAAATCAATCTTTGAGCCGGGAAGCTTTGGGGTTTACTTTGAGATTGACGTCAGAGTTCTTTTTCCAGCATCCAAAAACGTTTTGGCAAAAGGCAGGAAGGGAAGTAGACTCCTGCCCTGCCTTAGAACCGGCCTTACAACTGGGAAATTATCAGGGCTGTCAGAGTGTGTCTCCAGTAAACAGCCGATGTAATGGCCCATTTATATCTGCCCTGATTTATTGATTGCACCTCTTTGGCTCTTCAGTGGGGGAATTAAGGCCGAAGAGTTTATTAGGGCTAGGCTGACTTTTACAAGGATGAATTTAACAAGGAAATCATCGTGTAGCTTTTCGGAACATTTTGTAAACTGTTTCAGAAAAACAATCTGGCCCACGACATAGGCCACAACAGCCCAGCCGTGCTCCATCTGAAGGATTTATGCCTTGTTTCTTGGAGAAAAGTTAAAGCAAGTGCGTCTTTTTTTAGCTTAGGGGGAAAAAAAAAAGGATTTCTCAGAAGGAACATAGTAAAACTTATAAAATTAGACTGGAGGGAGAAAGGAAGGAAGGAAGGAAGGAAGGAAGGAAGGAAGGAAGGAAGGAAGGAAGGAAGGAAAAGAAAGGAAGGAAAAGAAAGAAAGGAAGGAAGAAAGGAAGGAAGGAAGGAAGGAAGGAAGGAAGGAAGGAAGGAAGGAAGGAAGGAAGGAAGGAAGGAAGGAAGGAAGGAAGGGTCAGAAATAAGTCTTCATCCTGGTTCATCCAAGCCGGGAATAAATAAACAACATGGCGACTGTTTTGGGAAGAAGGTTACAGTTTATTGAAGAAGCAGAAAGATAGTCCTTGCAGGAAAGAGCAGAGGAGAGGAAAGAGGGGTTGAGCACATGGGCAGTAGGTTTTTATACCCCCTCTAGCCTTGTTTGGAATAGTTTCCTGTTCCTGTGGCATGAACCTTGAGGCTATTTCTGAGCGTTTTTCTAGGCCTTGATATCTGTGGTTTTAATCCTATTATCATATCCTGCTTCCCAGGTGATGGGGCTAATGACTCCTAGAGTTTGGGTGGGGCATGCAGATTTTCTCTTTGTCTTCTTGATTGCTCTGGCTTCAATTCTCTGATGGTTTTACATCTGCACTTGTATGGGCTAGCTCTTGCTTGGGGCAGAGAGATAGATTTGGGGCCAGGTATGGTTTTAAAAAAATCCTTTTGAGGAAAAATATATTTTTCTGCCCTTTTAATATTTCCTTCTCTGGGCTAACTTCCCTCAGAAGGAAGGAAGGAAGGAAGGAAGGAAGGAAGGAAGGAAGGAAGGAAGGAAGGAAGGAAGGAAGCCAGGCAGGCAGGCAGGCAGGCAGGCAGGCAGGAAGAAAGGAAGAAAGGAAGGAAGGAAGGAAGGAAGGAAGGAAGGGAAAGGGAATGAAAGGAAGGGAGAAGGAGGGAGAGATGAAGAAAAAGAAGGGGATGGAGACAGGGAGGGAAGGAGGGAGGGAGGAAAAAAAGAAGGGAGAGGGGGAAGGAAGAAATGACAGAAAGGAATGGGAGGGACAGAGAGAGAGGCGGAAGGGGAGGGAGGGAGTGAGGAAGGAAGGAAGGAAGGAAGGAAGGATTTAATATGCTGCCAGAGTCCCCACAGTTTCTCAGTCTTGATAATTAACTTTGTAAAGGAGCCAAAAATAACCATTTCCCAGGGACTTCATTCACACAACATATTTATTTGGCTTACATTGAATTACTCCCCCTGCCCCCCCTTGTTTGTTTGCACATAATCTAACCAATAGTTTGGGTTCATGTAACATATAAAGAATGAAGCCAGGTTAAATCCAATCCCAATAAGGATGTGGGGCGAATGTGTCTGCTCATTCTTTTATCTGCCAAGGTTAAGAGTATTGCAGGAAGTTCTGAGTTTTTAATTTCCTCTGGGGATCTCCTCCCCCTTCTCCTTCTCCTCCCTTCCTCCCATTCCTCCTCCTCCTCCTCCTCCTCCTCCCATCCTCCCATCCTCTTTCTCCTTTACTCTCCTCCTTTTCCTTCTCCTCCTCCCCCTCTCTTGAGCAGGGGGCTGGACTAGAAGACCTCCAAGGTCCCCTCCAGCTCTATTCTAATTTGTTCTAGTTTGTCCTGTCCTGTTCCATTCCATTCAAGTCCAGTCCAGTCCAGTCCAGTCCAATAACAACAACAACAACAACATAACACCCCAGACTTAACAATTGTCGATAAGAAAGACAAAAAAGTCTGGATAGTGCACGTGGCAGTGCCTGGAGATAGCAGAATAGACGAGAAAGAGCTGGAGAAGATCACAAAATACAAAGACCTACAAATAGAAATAGAAAGACTGTGGCAAAAGCAAGCAAGGGTAGTGCCAATAGTCATAGGCTCCTTGGGTGCAATCCCAAAACAACTGGAGCACCACTTGAACACCATTGGCATTGACAAATTCGCTATTAGTCAATTGCAAAAGGCAGCTTTACTAGGAACTGCTTCCATCCTGCGACGATACCTGTAATACCATCAAACATCCACATCTGCCTATCCCAGATCCTGGGTAAGGACTCGATAGGTAGACAAAATGCCAAATCCAGTCTGAACATCTGGCTGACTGTGTGATGATCCATAATAATAATAATAATAATAATAATAATAATAATAATAATGATAAAGTTGGAAGGGACCTTGGAGGTCATCTAGTCCAACCCCCTGCTCAGGCAGGAAACCCTACACCATTTCAGACAAACGGCTGTCCAGTCTCTTCTTAAAAACTTCCAGTGTTGGAGCATTCACCGCTTCTGGAGGCAGGTTGTTCCACTGGTTAATTGTTCTAACTGTCAGGAAGTTTCTCCTTAGTTCCAGGTTGCTTCTCTCTTTGGTTAGTTTCCATCTGTTGCTTCTTGTCCTTCATTCAGGTGCTTTGGAGAATAGCTTGACTCCCTCTTTTTTGTGGCAGCCCCTGAGATATTGGAACACAGCTATCATGTCCCCCCTCGTCCTTCTCTTCATTAAACTAGACATACCCAATTCCAGCAGCCGTTCCTCATATGTTTTAGCCTCCAGTCCCCTGATCATTGTTGTTGCTCCATTCCATTCCATTCCAGTCCAGTCCAGTCCAGTCTAGTCTAGTCTAGTTTAGTCTAGTCTATTCCTACCATAAGCAGGGGGTTGGATAGAAGACTTCCAAGGTCCCTTCCATCTGTACAATTTTTCTCTGTTTCTCTGCCTTTCTTTCAGAAATGGAATTGACCTGAGGCCACAGCATTAACGACTCAAGTTCATCTTTCATCTTGCTGAAATATGAATTGGCGGTCATGCCAAAAACCCCGTTTTGAGTTTTAGACAAGCCTTGCTTGCATCCTTGGCAGATTTAGCATTCCATGGTCAATTACAGCTACTTGTGTTTTGCCAACTTAAAACAAAATACTCTGCCAAAAAAATATTACAGGCTAGGTTGGCTTTCCAAGGCTGTTTAACTCTTTTCTGCTCAATGGTTTTAGCTGGATTTTAGAATAGAATAGAATAGAATATGAATATGAATATGAATAGAATAGAATAGAATATGAATATGAATATGAATAAGAATAGAATAGAATAGAATAGAATAGAATAGAATAGAATAGAATAGAATAGAATAGAATAGAATAAGGAACGGAATAAGGAATAGAATAGAATAGAATAGAATAGAATAGAATAGAACTGGAAGGGACCTTGGAGGTCTTCTAGTCCAGCCTCCTGCTCAAGCAGGAGAACCTACACCATCTCAGACAAGTGACTGTCCAGTCTCTTCTTAAAAATCTCCAGTGATGGAGCGCCCACGATTTCTGGTGGCAAGCTGTTCCACTGGTTAATTGTCCTCACTGTTAGGAAGTTTCTCCTTAATTCCAGGTTGCTTCTCTCCTTGACCAGTTTCCAACCATTGTTTCTTGTCCTTCCGTCTGGTGCTTTGGAGAATAATTTGACCCCCTCTTTTTTGTGGCAGCCCATCAAATACTGGAACGCTGTACTCAATAAAAAGTTTTTTAAAAAATACTGGAACACTGCTATCATGTCACCCCTATTTCTTATTTTCTTAGACTAGCCAAACCCAAATCCTGCAACCGTTCTTCGTATGTTTTGGCCTCCAGGCCTGGGATCATCTTAGTTGCTCTTCTCTGATTTTTTTCCAAACTCTCGACATCTTTTTTTTGTGATATGGTGATCAAAATAGCTTGACTCCCTCTTCTTTGGGTCAGCCCCTGAGATATTGGAATACTGCTATCCTGTCCCCCCTCGTCCTTCTCTTCGTTAAACTAGACATACCCAATTCCAGCAACCGTTCCTTATATGTTTTAGCCTCCAGTCCCCTGATCATCCTTGTTGCTCTTCTCTGCACTCTTTCTAGAGTCTCAACATCTTTTTTACATCGTGGTGACCAAAACTGGATGCCGTATTCCAAGTGTGTCCTTACCGAGGCATTGTAAAGTGGTATTAACACTTCATGAAATCTTCATTCTATCCCTCTGTTAATAGAATCAAGATCACGTGAAGTGTTAATACCACTTTATAATGCCTTGGTAAGGCCACAGTTTTAATTGTGGGAATGCTTTTTGTTAATATTGTTCATTTTTAGTTTATGCCACCCAGGGTTACATGTTGTGAGATGGGTCACTTTATAAAAATGATAAAGAAACAAAGAAATATATTTGTTATGTATATTCTCTACGTCATGGTTTAATTTTTATTTAAGCTTAAGAGGAGGAGGCTATATTATTATGTATTTATACCAGTGGTTCTCAACCTTTTTAATGCCGTGACCCCCAACCGGTCGTAAGTCGAGGACTACCCAACCGGTTGTAAGTCGAGGACTTTCCCTGCCTGGGAGCACCACGCATGCGTGGTGCCGCCCGCTGTGCCGGTCGAGGCGTAGCTGGCAAGAGGCAGAGACGGCGCAGGCCGACCACCGGCTGGACCACCAGCTGGCCCAGCCCAAGGGAGGTAAGGCACCCGCCGGGCCCCACGCGCGCCAGCAACCCTCCCTGCGCCCGCCGGCCTCCCACCTCCCACCCCTGGCCTTCGTTTACTTACATTTTTAGTAGTTGCTCAGCAGGGAGGGGTGGAAGCTTCCAGACAGCTCGCCTTCGCTGCAGACAACTTGCAGCACCGTTTGCAGAGTGGGACT